GTTTACAACACTGCATATGATTTAAAGGTATAAGATCACACACACTTCAGGTGTCTATACCACACCCACCACCAAGGCACTGAGTCCTATTTCATAGTCCTTTAATTTGCATCTGTACTTTGTTCTCCCTCGTTTTCTTCTTCTGATATCATCAGTTCTACAGTCATATTTCTGGGACTTGTTATTGGCTTGGCTTTATCTGAATCTTTTTTTTAAAATATTTTTTATTAATGCAACAGAACTGGGGTGCAGGCCAGAGGTGCAGGGGTGGTGAGAGGAATCACCAGAGACAGAGTGGGGAGCAAAGAACAGATTGATTTGAAATACACTGCATTGTCTTTGTCCTTTTGACTTATTTTGCTCCTGATTTATTCCTCCAGTTCCATCCTTATTGTCCCTGAAGGCAAGAGTCTTTTTTTTTTTTTTTATAGCCAAGTAGTATTTCATTATGTGTATGTACACCACATCTTCCTTATTTACTCATCTGTTTTGGGGCACTTTTGTAGTTTCCATACCTTGGCTAAAGTAAATAGTGTTGTATGAACATACACATTTATGCATGCCATTTGAATTAGTGTTTTTGCATTCTTTGGGTAGATACCCAGGAATGGTATTGCTGGATTTCATGGCAGGTCTATTTTTAATATTTTGACAAATATCTATGAGTTTTCCATGGGGGCTGAACCAGCCTGCATCCTCACCAACAGTGTGAGAACCACATATTTCCATATCCTTGCCAACACTTTTTGTTTCTGGCCTTTTTGATAAGGGCCATTTCAAGAAATAAGAGGTTTTCATTTGCATTTCTCTAATGGTAAGTGATGGTGTGGATTTTTCATTCTTTGCTTCAAAAACATTGTTATGAAAGTTTTTTCCTAAATTTCTGAAAATATATTATTTAAGAGCAGCTGTAGATGTAGTATCAACTAATAGTCATAATAATCATGTAACTCAGATTAATCTCTGTCTCTTCTTCATGTGGCTGTATTTATCGTGTGTATTTGTGGGAAAATATGATTGAGTCATGTCCACATTTCAGTTATTCTATGTTAAAGGTACTTTTGACTTTTTGCTTGTTACTATTTGCTATTCTCTGGTCACTGTTCACAGTAGTTTGGTTACTCTTTGGAATTTGTGAAGAATGTTTGCAAAGGCTACAAGTAGTGGTGAATGTACGGTAGTAGCTTCATTTATTCCCATCATTTTTTAATTCCCTATAATACTAAGCTTTCCTATAGTTTTGAAGGAAGAGCACAAAATGTAAAATACTGCATTTTGTGGGATATCATATTGTGAAGTGACAAGACTAATTGACTGTGCTAATATTAATTTATATGCCTGTCCTCCACCAGTCTATGAAATATTCAAAAGCAGAAACTACATCATGTTTTCTCTTTTTACCACCAAGTATATAGTATAGTACATAGTAGGCGTGCAATACATGCTGATTTAACTGTAAAGGCCGGAGGAAGGAAAAATTTTATCTTGCAGAATGAGTTATTAGTATCAGTGTCTTCAGAAATAACTAAATAATTCAGAGTTAAAACCAACCATATAAAATCACTTGATGGTCTTATTCAGCACCTCTTGCATGTCATTTATATTTGAAACCTTGTTTCTTCCCTTCCTAAGGCTCTGGGAAACGGGAACACTTTTACTGTACTTTGTTATTTTCTTTGTTCTATAAACAATTATTTACATTAATATTAGATTATATGAATCAAGGATATTAAAACTATTGAAGTTTTGTCATTGTAAGTACAGGACTTTAAGAGGACTAATCTATGGGAACTAAATAAAATGCAATAAACTTTATAAATTAATAGGTTAATTGATTATGTCATCTTCAAATTCAAACAATGGGGGAATATACTTAGAGGCATTTGGTAATAAAGAGGCGACTGAATGGATTGTGTAAACTTAAATAAAGTTGCTTGATTCTTGAACCAAATATATTGAGTTCTGGGTGAAAATTAGCAGGATGTAATGAGGAATCATTAGGATGTGTTGGATTTGACTTAGAATCAACCACTTGTATGGCTACCAGGGGCCTTAGCTAGAACTAGATATTTGGAGACGGCATGATATATGGATAAAACATTAAACAAGACAGACTGGATTCAAATCTCATTACCCCTATTGTAATGTGATCTCAGACAAATCACTTAAACTGTCTGTTTAACCTAGAAAATGCTGATGAAAATAATTCTTTTTTCACAGAGTTGTTTTGAAGATTTTATGAATTAATAAATAGACATTATTTAAAATAGTGCCTGGCACATAGTAAGTACCTAAGTATTAGGTATCATCATAATTATTATGCTATCAGTTCAGTTCCTTCCTTTTAAACTTAATTTTACTACTTTTTATATGAAAGAATGGAAACTTGATAATCAAGATGGATGCATGAATTGCCCAGGGTAAATATAGTACTCATGGTGATGCTGGGGCCCAAACCAATTTTAACTTCCTATTTAGGATCTTTCTGCAGGACAAAATTGTCCCATAGCATATCAACATTAAAGAAAATAATAATAACTTAGAAACTTTATAATGGTGAGATTCTGTTTTTACATGGTACTATAATTAATACATGGTCTCCGGTCCTGGCAAAAGAGAGTGTAGTGCTCCAGAGCACTAAGAATGTGCCACTTAATTGTGCTTGGAATCTAGTAAAGTGTGCAGATATGGAGAAGGTGTTGAGATGTTGTGCGTTTTTTCCTTCAGCCAAAATATTTGTTTTTCTTTTTAAAACTTAACTGGATAGTTGTTCTTTAGTAAAGGTGAATACCCTTAATGGTCCTTTACATTCCTTTTGACTCCTGCTGGTAGAAATCAAATACTGTCTTCTTATTCTCCTTGGGTTAAAATGAAATGCAACAAAACAAAAATACCTAGAATCTTATTTTAGGAAGTACAGATATACTAGTATCTAATTTGAATCTATCTGTCAAACTGAGATTTTTGTGTGTTTTTTTTTTAAGTGGTTTTTTTCTTCATACATTTGAATAAGGCTTCAGAGAAACAATAGGGCACCAGTAGAAAAACAGAACTGCCAGGCAGAGCAGTAAGGGGCGAGATGCATGCTGGTTCCTTGCGCACACTCAGTATATTTTAGAAAGATTTTTCTCAAGCATTCAGCCAAAAATAGGACTCTGTTAGATCCCTTTTTGTGTGTGTATGTCCCCCCTTAATGAAGCAAGCATCCTTGAGAGGGGTAAAATACTATTACACAATTAGAGAATTAGAATTGGTGGTTTATCGAGAGACCAGAGGGCTTGGACTCTTGGTTTCTTACTTGATTTTCCCAGGACAGCTTGCATAATGTGTGATAGACCTCACATAATTTCTGTGCGATAGGTTTTCTATCCTTAAAATAGTGAAAACAGTGTTGGTCTATATTGTGAACATGACTCATGATTTAACTGACATTATGAAAAATTTGCGAGTTAGGTGAAGATATAGTTTATCAATAACATATGGAAGTTATTAAGTTATTTCTTTTATTAACTGAAAGTGACTTTTAAATGAAAGAATGGATGCATATATATGTACATTTATGTATATAACAAATTCATTCTATTTATGTTAAGGGATATATTCTAATTTTTAAAGCATGACAAACTCAAAATGATTTTATAATTAATATATACTTAATTATTGATGTTCAATTTTAGGGATTGAATAAGTGAGATGTACTCATTTTTATGTTATGTAAATTTTCTTGAGATGTAGCGTTCTTAACTCTCATCTTAAAGTTACACAGCTAAACTATATAGACATATTTAAGAGGTGACAGTGGCTACTTCTTAAAAACTGGAGAACAAGAAGCAATTAGTTGTGTTTTTTGATGTTTGTAACTCCATAGTTGTAAATACATCACTTTTGGGAAAAAAAGACACCTGAGAGTGGGGAGGAGAAAGGAGCACTGAGGTGGGATGAAGAGTAATACAGCATTTTTTGGTTTTAGCAAATGAAAAGAAAAAAACAATTGGTCAGAGGGATCAGACAAAGAAAAACATCTTATTTTTCTTTTAAAGAAGGTTTGTTTAGAAGCATTGATTATTTTTATTTTTTCCATCCTAGTAAATCAACAAGGGCATCCTGCTATGGTTTCAGACCCATATTTTATGAAATCTTGTCCCGTGTATGATGAGGGCTCCTTATGGGATTTATTTCTGTTGTTTTAACACTATGTACTTACTGTATGCATTGCACCTGTTCACACAGAGTACATTGTATTGTGATGCTTATAAAGATAGATGCTTCAAATAAGAAAGAAATCTTGTTTTTCTAGAGTTAGTCTATTAGCTCCTTAATTAAAACTTAATTCTGTTTTTGTCTGCAATTTTGTGTATGGTCTTGATGTAGTTACTGAGCTATGATTTCTTCTTTACAGTTATCAGTTTTCCCATTGTATGGAGTCTCTTTCTTTCAGAGCTTCCTTTAAGACTGCTCTGACTTTAAAATCATTACTAGGCTTTTGTCAGAGCAGATTTGTTGACACTCTTCTCACATTAAAAAATAAATTTAAAAGATTGCAAAAATAGGCTATGGATTTCACTATTTCCTGCTAATATGCAAAAAATGTATTTATGATAATTACATGTACTGTGTGCCAGAACTGAAACAATACATTCCTCATAATGGAGCATAAATAAAGAAGGTGGAGCCAGCTGCTCTTAAACTGTTTATTTGCAAGCAGCAATGATATAGAGAATATACCTTTTTCACTCTGTTAGTCTGGCAATACTGAACCTGTTGCTGCATTAGACGAGTTGCTTTTTTGCTGGATAGGGGAAAGGAGGGCTGTCTGCTATCTGGTAGGAGGGCTTTGTCTGTGCCTTTCTCTCACTGTTTCTTTCTGTTTTTCTTTCTCTCTCTCTCCTCTTCACTCACTCTCTCACTCGCTTGCTCTGTCTCTGTCTCTCTCTCCCTCTCTGCCCCCCTCCCTCCCTCTCTCTTGCTCTCTCTCTCTCTCTCTCTCTCTCTCTCTCTTCCCGTCTCTGTGGTTTGTAAGGTAGGTTGCAGTGTGTGTATATACACAACATCAAGAGCAGGAAAATGGACTCATTAGGGAGGCAGGCAGTCATTACCACTCACACTGTACTTCCAGGGAGACACCGATTATGAGAAGAGAAACTCAGCGCTGGGGAAGAAGGTAGGGCAGACAACTTTCATAAAAAAAAAAACAAAAAAACCAAAAAACCCCTGCTTCCTCAATCCCCCCTCTACCTATCCTCTCTAGCCCCCAGTGCTTTTTTTCTTTCTCCCTTGAATTTTAATTTCCAGATTTAAGTTTGACAGAGCTATGGCTAGCTTAAATTTTGGAACATCTATAGGAGGCCCACCCTCTATTAATTTTCTTCCGACTTATTTTGGGTGTGCCCTGTGATTCAGTTTAATTACTTTAAAAATAATTACAAACAACCCTGTTTGTCTCACTAAAGTACCAAATAAAACAGTATCTTTCACTCTTTTATAACAGACCCCTCCGTATGTTTGTTAGTCTCTTTGCTTTTCTTGTCTGTTTATGCAATTCCATCTGTCTGTCTATATATCATGTTGTCCTTATTTATTGCTAACTAGGTTTTGTTAGTTATGTGCCAATGAGTTTTAGCTGCAGTGCCAGTGTGGGTATTACTAAAGTGAGACTCTTGTTCTTTGTTTTACAATGAAGTTTAAAGTCCATATTTATAGTTTAAATCTTTGAAGCAGGTTGAATACTTTTTGCCAGCATTTTTATTTTATGGTATTGGACATAAGGTGAGGGGTAGTTGCTTAGGGTGGGTAAGAATCTAGTAATTATTTTTATCATCACACACTCTTCTGTACTGTGGGGGGGGATATATTTTGAAAGGAATAAAACACTCTGCTTTGTAACTTTTATTTTGTAAATGGACTTTTATATTTATAAGGATATCACTGTGGTTAGTAAGAATGCAAAGTTTCTTAACAAGCAGTTTTTATCCTAGGACAGTTTCCTTTTAGTATGTTACTGTTTATTTATGCTTGGGGAGGGGGGAGTGGGGGGCTGGCCATCTTTTACAAAGTGGAAGCTATGAAGTGTATCAGGCCATCTTGTGCAACAACTGTAAGTATTCATTTAACATTTCTGGGACTATAAATAATGTATTTGTTATTTCAAACATAGTTTTGAGGTGCTTTCTTTTTCCTTTATTATTTTTTAATTTTTTTTAATGGGAAAAGTTGCATTTCACAGCTAGCAGACATTGTTGAAGAGTTTTCCCAGAACAGTGTTCTTCGAAATTCAAAGGAGTAACTAAATAGGTCCATTTGAAATGGACTCCTTAAAGGAGTTTTATTTAAATTTGTCTGAAAGTAAAACTGCTGTAGGTACACCGATGTTTTCAGCATATATATGAACAGCGATAGAAAATGCATACTGATCTATAGAGATATTTGATAATAACAGTCACCTTTTTAGTAATAAATTATTTATTTAATAGAAGTGGCAGACTTTTTTTTTTTTTTTTTTTAATTCCATTAGGCCTCTCTGACAACACAAAGAAGTCCATAAAGCAATATTCTTAACCCACCTGGGACACTGGAGCAGATTCTCAAACACTTTCTCAAGGTTGAAACCTAGTAAAACGTTGATTAAAAATCCATTATTCCAAGAGGGTGGTGAACTTCTGCTGGTAGAAGTCTTATTTTTGTTTTCTTTTAAAATTTATTTGGAGACTTTTAATTTGCATGTCTTGCCTGCTCCGTCTTTTGAACTGGAAAGACCAGATTTGACCTAAAGTAGTACAAAACTAGGAATACTAAATTAGGTCCTATCAGATTTTTCTCCTCACAGATCTAAAGAGCAACTTTGGGGAATTCTGTTGAAAGTGTATGTTAGTATGATACACAGTTTATAGTGATTTCATCTATTTTAGACTCTTGACCTCAGGATTTGTTTTAAAACTTATATGTCAAAGTGTGAATGTCTATGCACCTGTTGTTTTCTGTAATTGCTTATAAGGACTATCTAAAATTTTATTTAGTTTTTAAAATAAACCTTTCATACACCTCCTGTTCAACACTTCTCTTTTTCTGTATACATTATGTGGAGATATCTGTACACATACATGTAGATTTATGTACATATTCTATGAATAAAGAAGTCACAGATTCTTTTCAGATTCCATATTTTAAAAAATTTATGTTAGGCATATTTATTAACTAAGCAAACAAAAAATGGAGAGACTTTTAAGAGAAAATGAACATTTCTTTCAGCTTTCTAGAAAAAAAAATTGAGTCATTTTTTGATTTTGAGAATGTGTATATGTTTTCTTGTTCAGCATAATTTTTAGCCTTCAGTAGATTAAAAATATCTTTAGTATGAAAAATAATCTTGGCCTTTTCTGGAGAGTCAGTCATAGTCTAAATACAGCAGGACATTGTAAAATGTGCATAAGTAAACTTAAAACCAGTGTACTCTGCTGTATAGGGATTTGGAAAGCTGAAAGGCTTGCATCACAGGAGGGCTGTAGAGTGCCAGAAAAATTCATTAACCAGTCTTGCTGGTTATGGTGGGCTCTTCCGATCAACACATGAAATCGGCTGTTGAAAAGACCCTAAGTCTTGATCAGGTCACAGTGTGTTTCATGTTAATGTTGGAGCAGACAGTTATCTAACACACCCACACGAGGAAGTGCTCTAAAGCAGTTATTTCATGCTTTGCCATGCCCTGTAGCTAAAACAATTTGGTACTGAATGATTTGTGTGTGCTTTTTAACTACTATCCGATGAAAATCAGCTTTGGCTCCTTATAAAGGTCCAAAACAGTGGAATGCAAGATAGTTTAGTTCAAATGCTAAGAATATGCTGGCTTTATTACTATTTTTTAAAAAATTTTAGGTGATAATCACTATTATTTTTAATATGAAGATTTTTGTAGTAATTTCCTGGATTTTAGTCATTAAGGTTCTAAAACTTGCAGTTACTTCTTCCTGTTTTTCTCCAGAAGCCTACATTCATCAAAAGGATAGCAGCTGCATACTTTCTTCTCAAATGTTAACAAATAAATGGCATTCCTGTTTATTTGTCTATTTTTGAATTTTAATGATTAGTCTTTGTGCTAATTAACAAATTCCTGTATTCATAAAATCTGGCACTTCATAAATATCCAATTGTGTGATTATCTACACATGTTCTGGCTTTCTATAAATATAGAAATTATCAGTGGATGTGTTCATTGACTTGTCTAAGCCTTAGTAGAGGCTGCCACATAGGAAGCCAAGTTCATACCCTGAGCAAATGTGTTGCCCCAGAGTCTGGCAAGGTGTGTGGAAGCCCAGTGTAGCTGATATTGCTAACTAGTGATCCTTTCTGGCAAAGGAAGGACCCATGTTGACATTCTTTGAATACCATTAGTTCCAACCTTCTTCACTTCCAAGGGTGGCCTCCTTAGGTTCTAAAGCTGATAATGGATACTAGATGTGACTTGTCTTAAGGCTACGTTAGCAGTATATTTCCCTAAATCATATATAATATTGTAAACCAATAATACCTCAATAAAATAAATAAATATTTTCAGAGGAAAATTACCTCACTGAACTTCTACAAAAGAAATAAAATAGTATGACATTCTTAAGTTCCTTAACTGGTAAGCATCAATTAGCATTAAAAAAAAGTTATGTGGGGTTGAAAAGAAAATACAAACATTTTGTTTATATGGCTGTAATTATCTCAGGATTATTATAGAAATCAGGCTACTTAGATAGGAACAGTTCACTAGCAGTTGAGCAAGTGTGTACATGTGAGAGTCATTAAATTAGAAAGCAAACCTTTTCAGAAAGGTTTTTCATATTATATAAGTCATTTTGGTTATCTTATACAATCACTAAGTATTATTTACAATGCTGTCTTACTCAGCATTGGTCATTTGAGTGTTTGCTCCAAACTTCCAGCCATGTATAGGATTCCTAGGTATTTGGTTAAACTTGAAACTTGTAATTTTCTTGAAAAACTATGTTTCATGCATTTCCATTTCTTAAGTAATTTCTAGCATTTTTCCAGAATCCTCTGGGATTATCGCCAATGTCAAGAAACTTGCAAAATCCTTTAAATTCTTTACCAAAAACCCAAGGGCAATATCTATATCCTGGAAATTCTAGAGAATGCCTGAATTCATATGTTTTCCTGTAATATAGATATTGCACATTTAATCATCAAATAAATTTGATGCCAATTATGTCTAATGCATCAAAAATATATTTCTTGAACCCCTTTAATTCTAATTTCAACATAGACAAGCTTCTGAGGCTGTGGGAAGAAATAATGCCATTTATTATTACTGTCATGTGTATAGTAACCACTATAGCAGATGTTGGAAACAACGTTGATTCAAAGGCCTATAAGAAAAAAGGGCTTTTCTGTCACTCTAGCTGTTTAACTGTAATAACGAGTAAGTGGCATGCTATTTCTAAACTAAACTGTGGAAAATTTATGCTCGACTTTGGCTTCATATACTCTCTTCTACTCCAGGATCAAGCCTTTAGTGTTTCTACAGTTCACTTGAAAGTAATCAACTTGAGGACATGGAGCATGCCTTTCTGGAATCCTTTGACATTCAACTAAAACTCTGGTTCTAGGTGTTGTGTAGTTCTTATAACCCTATATAACTGCTTTAACTTGGGAAAGTTTATAGTCTTTCAAGTGAGAATACTAAGATAAAATCCAAGGGGTATAAATTCATTGATCCACCTGGTGACCCAAAGGAAATAGAGGATATTATTATTAATTTTGGAATATTCAGTGATATCTTCGAAGCTGATGGAAAGATTGCTAATTATAGCCTAATGTGTTTATTGTCTTAATATTAGAGTAATTTAAGCATTGAATTCTTCCTGTGTTTCAAGGTCTGATTAATGTATTATACCTTTATGAATTTAAAAGTTTAAGGATTTATTTGAAAACTTTCCATATTAAGTGGCATAAGGATTAATTTACATTCAACAAATATAAAGCCATTTAATAAATATAAAGCCATTTAGCTTGAGCTTTGGGAAATTAAAAAAGATGTCTAGTAAATTAAAACTAAAAATGGCAATGATTATAAATCTTAAAAGAGTATGATTTTGTTTTTTGGAAGTTTTAATCTAAACTTTAAAAGAAACATGCTTGAATTTAAATTTTAATTTTTCCTAA